ATGGGGTGTACTCTGACGCCCTTTCCATTGTGAACCTTAGGTTTTCAACCACCAAAATATGAGGTTTTGAATCACTGGATGGAACGGGGGTGCCCTATTTCCAAAGAAACTGATATGATGGGATGGTTCCAACTAAAACTGATCATGACCACACAATGGAGAGTTCAGCAATCAATGAGTGACCAACTGAACCATTACAGTAATCAATGACAGGCAAATCCCCAACAACTGGAACGTATTTAATAATATGATTGTGTCAAAGATTACTTGGCAAATCCTGGCAAATATGTGGGGATTGATAGATTCTGCTGCCATGCCTCTACGGGTGTGGGCTGAGAGTGTAACCTAAATGTTGATGAACTAAAACTAGAATAACTAGAAATGACTGCAAGCAATCTGTGTTTGTCGAGACCTTAGTCTTGATCAAGAACACACATACGAAGAGCATCGAAGAGCAATCTTGTGGGCTTTTCTCAGCAACTCCTTACCATCAACCACCAGTGATGCAATCTTGGGGGTGGTCATATCTCATCGACGCTGCAGCCCAGCAACAAGACCCCGAACTGCTGGAAGAAGATCTTGTCGGAAAAGATCAGACCTGACCACAACATGGATCATTTTACTGATGTTCATGGATTTCTTTTGCCCAAAATTCTTGGGATTCCGAGAGTTTTGTACTCTATCTGAAGTTTGCCCAGCAAAATCTATATGAGGATCCTACGGATATCCATCCCCATTGTGGTGAAAAACAACCAGAAAGTTTGTTGCCGGTGACAGGAATCACTATCACCTGCATCTTGCCGGGATTGAGTGATTGAAGTAATTATTGACCCAGGATGACCCAGGCATATTCTTAAACAAAGTATGTCTGTTACAAAAGAATACAATATCTTCAGAAGACATCTCAGCACCAATTGCAATCCCATACTTATTCGTGTGTGGTAGCCATACCAGGTCCTTCTTGCTTAATTACGAAACAGGAAAGCAGCACAGATAAAGCCCCCAGCACTGAAAAAAACATCTCGTCTTAGGGATCCGGTCACTGGTTAGAAGGACCATAAATAATCCAATGATAGTTGGATTGATGGAAAAAATCGCATGTTTTCCCAGTTTGGCGGATAGGGAAAAAGCTATCCCGGTCTCCCGGGGAAACTCTGGATGGAATCCCCAAAAGATCCCCAAAGACCAGGTTTGTTTAAACATTAAGCCACTCAACAAGTAATAACCAGGTAGTATAACTGGTTGGTGGCTTCAAGTAACCCCTCTGAAAAATCATGGACTGAGTAACAGTTGGGATGATGAAATTCCCAAAATATATA